ACTGCTGAAGAGCTTTTGGCAGAGGCTTGAGCACTATTTTAATCATTACTGTGTTATCCTGAAGATGAAAAGGGTTGGAAACTGTGATAAAATTCTTGTGCAGAGTCTTGAATCATCTGAATGAACTGTCAAACAAATTGAAACAAAGTCTCATCTCCCATAATACACAAAAATGACCACCAAAGCTGAGAAAATTTGCACAGATTTGATAAAAAAGCTATGTTGTTCACCTGGATGGTGATTGGAATATTGTTATTTGTGATCAAATTTATATTATAAGACTTAATTGAACTTTAACCTTTGAACAAAGAACAATGAAATACATCTACACTTCAAAGTTTTCCAATTAGTAATTGAAGTGAAGGAGTGAAATATGTGTTCAAAATTGATCAGATTCCAAGATGATGATAAACTGCCATGTGATTCATTGACTTTTTGATATAAGCATCATCTGGATTCTATTAATTTTTCACGTTTCCATTTTTCAACCACCACATTCATTCATCCAGCGCTATTGATTGATCAACTTGCTTGCAACCACTACTCTTTGAAGGCAAAGATCAGAATCCCATCAAAGCTATGAAGCTTGTCAAATCTGGCTTCAATTATGAGCTTCAGGTCCTATTCAATTGGAATCATTGAGCCTTCAATAAATGTTTACCTTTGATATTATAACCCAATTTTACATAGAATCGTTAAACTCTAGTTTAATCCAACTTGCAACCACCTTCTGCAACCTTTGATTTTTCTCTGGATGTTTTCCACCATTGGTCAAAAGAAGGCACATAAATTGCAAATATATTGCCAAGTGCCTGTTAAAAGCCATACAAATAGGTATCTTTAAATCAATAAATCAACACTAATTCAGAGCCTTTCCACAAACCTAACATCAATGTTTAAAAGAATACAATTGAAATGTTTCGCAACCACTTTGGCTTTAGTAGATGCAATCCAATCTATTTTCTCCTCTGCTGTCTCTTCCTTAATCAATTTCTCAATCTCTTCTTCTTCCATTTTCAACATTCCAGTTAAAGAAAGTATAACCAAAAAATAGTCACTTAAATTTTGAAGAAGGGAAAAGAGGAAGACAGCTCAACT